GGGAGGCAGGAGCTGAAGTCAATTGACTGGGAAATGCTATCTCTGACACAGGCAAGAGCATGTTTGTGCAGCTGGAGCAGTCTGCAGGCAGAGGAGCTGCTGCTTCAGTCCTCTGCCTTCCCAGCCTACACCAGTTTGTCAGTGACACTTGAGGGAGGTGGTAGTGCTGGTGTGGAAAGCTGAGATGAGCAATCAGCGTGTTCCCTGGGAGGAAAGCCTGCACAGAGACCTGAGCTCTACCACGCACAAATTGCTGCTGTTGGGAAGCCTCAGAATGAAATCCCCAAGCTAGCTTATGTTATTCTCCTGCAGGTCAAAGCTCCTTGGAGGTTTTTGTGGAAGAAGATGCGACCAACAGCATGAGGTGAGGCCACCATGTAAAGCAGGCAGGAAGAAACCACTGAAAACCCTGCTGTATGAAGGAAACTGTATGGGTCGCTTTTATATCACAGATATAGGACTGGTATTGGAACGGATGTTTAGGTGATGTTGTCACCTGGGGCTGGTAGATATTTCAAAGTTTGTGCTGTTGAGGCACAGCCCTTCCTTTTCAGAAGCCTGTTCAGAACACGATGAGGCTAAGCACTGCGTTAGGGAGGGGTCCAGCCCATGCCATAAGGCCTGAGAGGCTGTCAGCAGTTGCTCTGCCTGGTATTGACTGGCATCGTGAGTTATGTCCTGGGATTCCTGGCTGTAACAAGCCTCCAAATGCCTGGAAGTGCTGGAGGTCAGGCCGCTGTGGTCTGACCTGAAAGGTGGACAGGTAAGGCGCTCTCGGCCTAAGGCTCGCAGAGCTTCCATTTTACGTGCTACGTGGAAGTTCTGCAAAAGGGGACAAAGCTCATCCGTGTGTTGTTCAGTAATGCAATGCAACAGTCTGTCAGAAGAATTTACAGCTCCACCTCTGTGTGGCCTGGCTGAAACAGGCTTGTGTCTCTGGATGTACTTAGATTTGTCTGCACTTTCCTTGGGGTCCCGTATGCTGGCTCCATACTTTTATCATCTGTAACTTACCCTTCGGAGAGCTGAAATAATTAAAATAGCTCTTCTTTTACAGAGCTGGACTGGAACTGAATTCCCCAAGTGAAAAGGTAAGTTTTAAGGAACGATCTACAAACTATCTGTCTGGACATCTTCTTGCCTGAGTTGATGATGCCTTTTGCTGAGCATTGCCACTGGAAGCAGGGAATGCGGCCAAGGATCACTCTGTCGCATCCCTTCAAGCTGAGCGAAGGCGCTGCCGAGTTGGACAGTGCTGCCCTTCTAAGACTTAGGCAGCTAGTTAAGCCGGTTGGCTCTCTGGCTCCTGGTGGGCAGAGACATTTTGTGCCTTGATAAGGCCGCTTCAAGATGGAGTTTTTGGAGGTGCTTGGCCAGGTTCCAGGGAGTCAGCAAGCTTTTGCCTGTCAGCTGGGCATGGTCATTGACTGTGTGTATTCTTAACCTGTCTCTGTTGCATGGCTGGTTTGAGCTACAAAAATCAGGAGGGCAGTTCAAGCTAATGTGCTTTGCTTGGCCACTGAGGCTATGTATGCAACACACTAGCATAAGCCTCCAGTGCTAGGAGGACAAAGAAACCCCTACCCTCCTTTGATCTGGCAAAAACGTCTTGTGTGGTTGTGCTGTGAACCAGCTGAGGTGAAAGCTAGCCCAGCAGAGAGAGGGGTGGGCTCTGCTTCAGACCAGCTCCCAGTGCTTTTCAGGAATGGGCAGGTGACTCTGCCCTGGGTGGTGGTGGCTTAGCGGGTAGGGGAGAGCATGGCCTGTGTGCAAGTGGCCTCATAATGTAATAGAATGCTGTGCTGCAGCGACTGTTTTGCTTGTCCTCCTGTGAATATACCATAATGGTACTTGAAGTGTTTCAGGTTACAAGATCATTAAGCACTTTACAGGCACTCGTCTTTCAGGATTGGAATATCTGTAGTTTGAAAACTGATGTCTCCAAGGTGTGTAGAAGCTGCCTGTCATTCTCAAGGCACTTTGCCTTTGGAGTCCAGGTTCAGTAAAGCTCCTTCTCTGGTTCAGATGTGCCGGGCAACTGTCCTTCCTGCGGAGGTTGGTGTTTAATGAGCAGACTCCCTGTTACTGAAGTGAGCCCACGTGGTGCCCATGCAGCACAGCTCTGGTTGAGAGAGAAGCAGACCCTAGCCTAGCAGTTAAGTGACTGGCTTTTTCAGGGCAGCAGGTCCATGGTAGCCTTGTTCTTTGGAGCAGCTGTGCTACAAGAATGCTTGTTTCCTTTTCCTGCAGACTCATGAAGACGTCCTCATTTCTAGCAAAAATATGCAAGCTGCCAGCCCTCCTGCACAGCACTTATCTCCTCCTGAGCAGCAGGCAGGCAACAATGAAGGTAACTTTGCGTTGGTCTTGCTTTTCTTGCATGAAGCCCCAAAAACACACAGACCAGTGAGTCAACATGACAGTTTGTGGAAAATCTGGGACTTGTGTTGAAACAAAACCACCTCTGACCAGTCAAGGGAATTTTTTGGGTTAACTTGTGATCTCCTAAAGAGGCAAGACATGCAATTAGATAAGCAAGGACATCTTATGAATATGTCCAAGCCTTGAGACAAATGCTGTCCTTTCCAACTTCAATCTGTGTAATGATTAAGTGCGGAGACTTTGAAAGGAGATTGCTATTAGACCTGGAGTCTTCCACATAGTGTAATGTTCTGTTAAAGCACCTTGACATCCCTTTCCTCTGGGTTAACATTGTGTAAGGATTTACAGGTCCCATTTATTTACTGTGCCTCAAAGAGAGGAGAAGGAGGGATTCAGGCATTTTGTTTATCCCCTATGGGAACTGTAGGATCTGATAAGCAGCTGTAGTGGAGGGAAGAGTAGCTGGAGGCCTTCTGGTGAGACAGGTTGTGCCTGTTCAGAAGGGTCTGTACAGGATGCGTACTACAGCATACTTCACAGTGTATGTATACAATGCTGATATTCCAGGTCGCTATCCAGGCATCTGGTTTCTCAGTTTGGTTACGTGCCAGGGGGCTCTGAGCACATGAGAGACGGAGACAAGAACCGGAGCCCTGCAGGATGCCTTGCACAGTGCTAACTACAGGTTTCTTCACAGGAAGCTGTGTAAATCCGAACAGTGAACCCCAGAATGAGAACCAGGAACAACCCCACTATGCCAAGTCCCAGGAGAATCCCTCACGCATCTGGTACGAGACATTTGCAAGGAGGAGGAATGAGCCAGGGGTCTGGAAGGACTCAGGCCTGGCCTTTTAAGTAATTTGTTTTAAAAAGATTTGAGTGTACCTCCCCCAACCCCCCACTTACAATGTAGTTTTCAAATCTTCTTTGGCCATGTCTTGTCTCCTGGGAGTTCCTTGTGACTTCTTGAGCCTTATTTGCATCTGGGACATGAGTTCATGTGCAAACCAGCAAAGGTGACTAAGATAGCACAGTTAACTCACAACTTAGATGTGACTCTGAGTGGCTCATAAAAGGGTGATCTGGGAGTAGTTTCAGAAGGCAATGCAAGTAGGTGACTGAACTATTTATTTTTGTCTTGTGCAAGTGTCTGGAATACCTGACTTGTTTCCTCACTGCTTGTATTACTGGTGTTTCACGTGAGATTTCAGCTGCTTTTAGCTTTGCCCTCAGTCTCCTGTCCTGGTTTTGCTGGGGTGAATTTGCTATGGGTAGTGGATGGGAAGGGAAGTAACAGTAACCTCTGTTCTCATGTGGATGCTCAGCACCATGTGATGGGTCAGGATCTGCAGCCTTCCTCAGGGCTGCTGGTGGATTGGGCTCTGATTGTGCAGTGAAGCAGTCCCCCCTGTTTCCCCTTGGAATTAGGGGAAGCAAATGAAGTATTTTCTGATACAGGTAAATCTGTGAGCATCCAAAGTATTTATAAAGCACGTGAAATCCTGCCAGTGAGGTGGGCTGGCTAGCTGCAAACACACAGGAGTTATTTCTATCTTGTGCTGTTAATACCAGATAGAACAAAGACTTCTTGCTTGCTGGGACTGAGTGGAGAGTAAGAGTGAGCATGATGTTGTACATCACTGCTCTGGAACTTGGGCGTTCCCCTACCAAGCTGTTGTGTGCCTCCCATAACTGAGTTCCTGGGAGGCCCATGTCCTCTGGTGGCAGCAAGCAGGCAGAGGGACGTGTGTAACAGCAAGTAAATGCTTCTGGCAAGATTGGGGAGTGTGATGGTCACCTAATGTGCCTCTTGATAATGCCATCAGGACAAGAAGCTATAAACAAGCACTGGGTGTTGTATGGAATGGGCAGCAGCCAGGGGGTCATACCCTTTCCCCTTTAGATGACAAGCAGAAGAATTCAGCAAACCAGACTCCAGCTTCTTCCTCTCCAGCTAGCAAGGTGAGTGGGTGCCATGGCCCTTTCCTTCCCTTTTCCTGGCAGGTACTGACTGCCCTCCATCTTCTCCTCTTAGGTTGTTAGACCATTGAAAAACTTCCTGCAGGCTGTGCAACGAAACCAGCTACTCGCAAGCCCCGGGCCCACAGGACATGGGGGTGTCATAAAGAACTTCATCAAACGCAATACTCCCACCCGACCTGATCTTAAGGTGCGTCAGAGTCCCACCTTCCCTCGCAGGGCTGAAGGAGGGGATCAAGTTTGGGGGAATGGCAGGAGGGACTGTTTGCTTAGAAAAGCATAAACCTATTCCTAGTTCTGTCTGCTGCTGTGGATCAGTGCAGGTCGTCGTAGCAAACTGCCCTCAATTCTACTTCAGCCTCCCCAGGGAAGGGAAATCGATTGGTGTTGCCTTTCATAGTCTGTCCACACACTGTTATTGGCCAAGGGTCTTTAGCACCAATCCTCAAACCTTCCTCATAAGCAGAGAAATCTCAGCTCTGTAGTCAGCAGAAACATTTTATATTCTGGGACTGTCAAACCATGGGAAAGTGGGAAGCTTTTCTCTTTGCAGTGGGAATCTATCCTTGTGTCTTGCATAATTGGCTGCTGCAGGACTGAAAGACAGGCAGTGTGGGGTCAGGCAATGGGCGCTCTACCACATACTGGTAAGGAGCTGCAGCTAAGAATGGAGTGCCTGTGCTACGAAAGGGGGTTCCAGTGTTACTTCCACACCCTTAATCATTTTTTATGTCTCTTTTCTACAGGGCGACTTTGTTGTAAGTAATGATATGCCCTTAACCGTGGGGTCTGGAAGATTGTAATGGCTGTGCTTCTTTCCTCATGGGCACTGACAGCTCTTTCCCCTCACACTGGCATCCATGCAGCGCTCCGTCCAAATAAGTAAACTGGCCACACCAGGGGTGAGGTGGCAGGATCTCTTTGCAGATGTGTCCTGCTGGGGCTGGGAACTGCTAGTAAACCTTCTGACCTCTAAGCAAGACTACTTGCACTGTGCTCCTTCTCCGTTCTCCCAGCTGCTGGTGTGGATAGAACTGTCCCAGGCAAGAAGCATTTCCTACAGGTGGCCACCTACAGCAGGAGTGTGCTGTTCCTTGCCTAAACATATTCTCGATAGCTGAAGGACTGAGGTGTTTCTCTCTTATACCTGTGACTCTTCTGCTCTTACTGGTTGAATAAGTGCTGTTGCCAAACCTGCATTGTTTCTTCACTACTATTCACTTCCCATCCCAGTGTGTGGGTGAATATGACTCTGACAGTGACGTCTTTGTTTAGCAGGCTGCCTAGCCTCTAGCTGCCTGTGCACAAGCAGCCTGAGGGTAGAAAGAAGCCCCAGCAATTGGTACAGTCTGAACACATTTCCCTTCAGGAGAAAGAGCGGCAGAGACTGGAAAGCCTCAGGAAGAAGCAGGAAGCTGAGGAACAGAGGAAACAGAAAGTGGAGGAGGAAAAGAGACGGCGGCAGGCAGAAATGAAGCAGTGAGTTGGGTCCTTTACTTCCTGCTCCTTCCCTGGTTCAGCACAGAATTGCCTTGGAGGCCTTTCCTGCCAGGGGGACAGCACTGCTGTAAGGTACTTTGTGCCTCCCACGTGGAAGGAGCATTTCGCAGGTGATGCTGCCTGGGCACCCTGAGCCCTGCTGTTCATAACTTGTGGCAGTAACAACTGCGTTGGTGCAAAGCACCTGCTGATTTCTGAACTTAATCCAGAAGTGAACTGAGGCTAAGCTCAGCCAAAGCAAGTCAAGCAAAATAACTGTTTTAGCCAATTACTGTGGCAAGCCTCTCTTCCCCCATCGTCCTCTGTACTAGAGCAGACAAAGCTAACAGACCTCTCTTGCACACGCTGCCCAGGAAGCGGGCAGAGCGTCTGTGGAACGCACTCGGGAGCGGGTAGAACAAATGGAAGAAGAGAAGAAAAAGCGGATGGAGCAGAAGATTTTACAGAATGATGAGAAGGTAAGAAGGCTAACCAAGCTTTGGACCGCTCAGTACAGTGACATTATCTTGGTGAACTGTGAGACCAAGAGGGTGCAAACAGGCCACTGGTATGATACATGCAAGCACAGGGCTGCTGCTGTTGGTGACTAATCAGGTGGTGGGCAAGTCTGCATCAGAGAGGCTGAAATTCTCTGTCTAACAAGAGGAGGCTTTTGTTCTCCATACCTCTGCAGTGGTTCTAAACATTCCTGTTCTGACATGCAGTGTTTATGGTGCTCTGCGTTCAAGGCATGTGGCAGCATCCCTTGACTGTCCTGTGAACAGGCCCTGCAGATGAGACAGCCTTACTCAGCTTAGAGCGCGCTCAGAGTGAGCTGTTCGCACGAAACATTACAGGCAGTGAAGCCACAGTTCTTGCAGGGAGTTGCAAAGATGTGGTGGGAAAGAATAGCTACCAAGCATGCAAGGGATGCTCACAACTAGTAGACTTGGCTGTGTGTGTATTTGTATCGTGTTTGTTTTTAAAACCTTGTCTGACCCTGTTTTGAGGACAGACAGAAGAGGAAGAGCATGCTAGGATGGGCTGTTGATGGCTGCGTGCAGATAGTGTTGCTGCTTTTGTACAACGGTGCAGGCTCTGCAGGATTGAGAGAGGTTGTGCCTGACTGACCCGGAGCCCTAGCAGCCTTTGAGAGAAGGATAGTTGCTCGTTTGGGGGGACCTTTGGAAAGGGTTGGCCTTAGAAAACAAAGGAATTGTGCTCCTTTCAGCCTTTCCCAAAATCTGAGCAGCCAAAAGTACTCCCAGCCCTGGCTAGTCTGCTGCTGTGGACATGCTAGTGCTTTTACTGGGACAGACTGCTCAGATGAGGGAACCATGTCCCTCGGGCTCAGTCAGCTTTCACATCCCCAGTTCATACTGCAGTTCAGTTAGTCAACAGCAGCACTGCAGGCGAAGTGGGAACCAGATGCTAGATCCCCTTGTTCTGCAGAGAACCACCTACAAGATGGAGGCATGTATTGTGGGGTTGTATAATGGTCTCCGTGCTCCTTTCTCCTGTCACTCCAAGTGATGAGTGTCTTTTCACACGGCCTATAGTAAGTGGTGGACCTGCTGCATGAGGTTGGCACTAAATACAGGGCACATATGCTGCGTGCTGGGTTCTCAGTCTCGTTAGGACCTGGAGTATCACAGGCTTCAGACTTCAGAAGCAGTCCGTGTCCTCCATTTGGAGAAGGCTGAGGTGTGTCCTCAGGGACGGTGGAGCAGACGTGTGTGGCTTTCTCAGATGCGCCTGTCACACGTGCGGGAAGAGAAAGTGGCAGAGGAGCGGAGCAAGAAAAAACTGTCGAAGAAGCATGGGGAAGCTGATGCATGGAAGCAGAAAGCACCGAAGGTGGTAAGAGCAACTCTAGGTCCCTCCTGCACGTACAAAAGGAAAGGAGTAGCAGGGAACCTGTGTCCTATTCTGACTGGTGGGACAAGGAAAGGTTACTGCCTCTCCTGCTGCAGGGATTTTAGGGTCCATACTGCAAGATCTCTGTCTAGACAGTTGATACTGGGTTTGAACACAAGGCTGCCTGTGGGGACAGAAGGGAGAGACTGCCCAGCTGGTAGACAGGCCATGGAAGAATGAGATGTAACTAGCACAGGTTGTCTCGGAGCATTTGCTTCATATCTTCCCATCTTTCCCCACTTGAGCTAGAGGGTTACAAGGGTTTTCTTCTTTCTTCAGGAGGAAAATGAATTTGAGCAGCAAGAACCACTGCAGAAAAGGAGAGAGGATGAAGTGAAAGAAAAAGGAAAGAAAGTCTTGGAACTGAAAAATCTTGTAGAGCAGCAACAGGTGGAACAAGTAAAGGAGAGGTATTAGCTCGTTCTCCTCCTGGAGGAGGGGATGTGGCGACAGGCATGGTGAAGCAGTAAATATAAATAGTATTGCTGAAATTGGGAGACTGGTGTGAGTCTCGGATTGTCCCAAAGGTTTGGGGTGCTGAAGCAAGAGGCTATAAGAATGTTTGGGGGGGGACACAGGTGGACATGCTTGCCTCTATAACTAAATTATAGGGTTTTTTTCCCCAGGGAT